CCCCCCCCCCCCATCATCAACTTTTGAGTGCCTGAAACTTGGTATGCATATCATGGCACCTCAACCCATCTCAATGGCGTACTTCACATATCCCTCCCATTAGCCTGTGTGTTTGTATGTGTATGTTACTAGGCAACGGCTCGGTAAAATTGTTCCAGCAGCAACGAATACATAAGTAAAAATAGAATTATTGGAGGCCTTGTTCTGTATGCGGTCAGTGTCGTGTCAAAGGGAAGTAGGCGATTAGTTCTTCCTAGAACTTCTTGTTGAAATTTAAGAGCAAATACCAATGATCGGGGTGGCTTAAGCAGTAATGTTTCTGGCTTGCTTTCGGGAGGTGTTTGGTTTGAATCTCAGCCACGTTACCGACTATACAGAATTTTAATAATTTTTCTTACTTCTTCAAAGGAAATTCTATGCAAAATGCATTAAAATTAGTATCTAACTGCTTCTTACCACATCTTTTCCAATTATTCAATATCATACGATCGCTGGAAGCCTAACCGTGTTAGTTTATCACAACGGCGATAAAATGGTACAAGTAAATAAATCAAAATTACATCACATATTACGTGAAAGATTAATGACGATTCAGGAGACATTTACTATTAGACGAAAATTATAAGGCTTAATAAAGAAGTGTCACTGGTTAATTTCAATTTGTTATCAGAACACGACTACCGAGAGACGGGAGTCTGGATCTATGCATACCTACTCTGTTTGTTATGTGATATGTTAGATTAAAAAATTACCTTAGTTGACTTGACAGATAAGCTGCATGTTATTGGTTCTGTCATAACATAGCGAAATGAAACTAATTACGTTATTTAATTACGATTATCAGAACAGCAGCTGCAACGGTTAAAACGTGATTAGTGTTAATCCTGTAACGGGATATGTGCTCAACATAACTAAATAACCCTTCGCCGGCTATGGATTTCAATCATCACTGCTTTTCAGGCTGGATCCAGTTTTGCCAACACCGGTATTCAATTTCGCAGCTTTAAATCTATGTGCACGAGGGAAAAAGAGATGCTTCAGAGAAGGGGTTCCACAGAAGGAGGGGGTTCCCTTACTGACTGAGAAACATAAGCTCTTCAAAATTATGTCTAATTAAATTCGGGGGGAAAAACAGTACCAATTTGGGTCCGGTAAACGGTCATATAAGTTTCAAGTTTATCATATTCTCCAGTAGACATCGGAAATATGCCTCCACAATGACAAGACTATTTTCTTTTTCTGTGGCGCTACAGCCCCAATTTGGGCCTAGGCCTACCTCCGTGAAACTCTCCGTTTCACTTCGGTTTACTAGATCTTACACATGCGGTAGGATTCCTTGGGCGAGTGATCAGCTCGTCGCAAGGCCTCTACCTGTAGACAAACACAGAAAAACGCACACAAACATCCATGCCCTGAGTGGGATTCGAACCCACGATCCCGGCTTCCGAGCGAGTGAAGACAGTGCATGCCTTAGACTGCTCGGCTACCGTGACCGGCGACAAAACTATTACCTTCTGCATCTATAAAGCAGAATCATCTTCCACGTTACTTTGAAGCTATATAACATCCGTAGTTGAGACGGCGTCGCTAAAGAACTTAATAAATTAATCGTAAGCCTTGAGGCTTTACAGAAACAGGTAACTTTACAAATCTCTGGAAATTATTTAATAACAGAGGAATATGGAGCTAAGTGTTTTTCAGATAGACAAGTTTCTTAACAATAAATTTGTAATTTATCGAAATAATTGTGAAATAATGTTAAAGTTTTCATTGGGTACGCACCACTGAACGTAACTACTGTGTACAGTAAATCCCCAGTAATCCGGTATGCAAGCCGATCACGGTAGCCGAGTGGTTTAAGGCATGTTCTGTCTTCGCTCGCTGGGAAACCTGGATCGTGGGTACAAATCCCACACAAGGCATGGATATTTGGTATGTGTATGTGTTTATTCTGTGTTTGCTTTCTCCTGTGTTCAGGTAGAGGCCTTACGACGGACTTATCACTCGTCCAAGGAGTCCTGCCATCTGTAAATTGATCATGAAACTGAAAATCAGAGGCCAGAGCCCAAGGGGGCTGTAGAGCCAGTGAAATAATCAGGGATCCAGAATTATCATACAACCGACAGAAATTTGAAAGAAAATTTTCCGGTTTTAGTAATATTGTTTCAGAACCAAAACTGCTATGCGCATGTGTTCATGTGCCATGCAGTATTCTCTCAAGCTACACTAGGAGCGCTGCTCGTCATTCTCCTTCATGTAGCTTCCATTAGAGTCCTGGTGTTCCGTGATTACAGCAAGTGTTACTTGAGTCCATAGTCACCTTACAGGTTATCCGAAATCTTGCTCCCATCGATCTGTTAAGTCACATAAAGGCGCGTCCACATTACTCGTGCTCGTGCTCGCCAGGCTTGTGCTCGTCGGGAGACTCGTCTGGCTTTCACTTATGCTCGTAAATCTTCGTCCACACTACTTCAGTTGCTCGCACAGGCTTCGGCGCGTGAAGATCCGTATATTTACTCGTAGTGTGTATACGCTGTAGTCGTATTTTAATTTATTGGCTATAATTTTTAAATTAAAAATTTAAAATTTGCTTGTCTGGTGACTTGTCATATCGTCCACATTAATCGCGAGCATAGCGAGTCACACAAGCACGAGTAATGTGGACGCACCTTAAGAGGAACCTCAAGCAAGGATTAAAATTTAAAAACGTTGTCCTGATTTTAAAAGATA